TTTCTCTGGTGAATGTTTTTGGCTTTTTATCAAATATCAGATGGCTGTAGTTATATGTACTCATTTTTGAGTCTTCTGAGTCTTCCATTTCTTTCCACTGGTCTACATTTCTTTTGTCTGTGTTTTTTTTTTTAATCATTATAGCTCTATAATATATTTAAAAGTCTGGATGGCAATCCCTCCAGTGTTATTTTTTTTCTGACTGCTTTGGTTATCTAAGGTTTCTTTCAGTGCATATGAATTTTAGGATTGTTTTTCTATATTTGTGAATCATGTTGCGGATATTTTGCTTCAGGTTGCATTGAAGCTATAAATTACTCTTGGTAGGCTGGTTATTTTCACAATATTAATTCTACCGATCCATGAACACACGATTTCTTTACATTTTCTAGTGTCTTTCTTAATATCTTTCTTCAGAGATTTGAAGGCAAGGTTATTCTAAAGCATTTCATTGTCTTTATTTATTTTGTAAATGTGCATGTGTGTCTGGTGTCTTTCATGTATGTTGGTGGTGGTATATATAGAAAACTACCAATATTTGTAACTTAATTTTGTACTTTGCCAAAAATTGTTAATTTTTTTTCTAGAAGTTTTCTAGTAGAATTTTGAGACCTCTCATGTATAACAGCATATCATATAAAAATCAAGAAAATTTGATTGTTTTTTCTAACTGTATCTCTTTAATTTCCTTCTATTGCCTTATTGTTTAGGCTATTGTTTTAAGCACCATATTGAAAAAGAGTGAAGGATAGAGGGATTCCTGATTTTAATGGGTTTGTTCTGAGTTTTTCTCCATTTCAGATAATGTTGGCTGTGGGTTTGCCATAAACAATCTTTATATATTGAGGTATGTTCTCTCTTGTCCTACTCTTTCTAGGACTTTTGTCTTGAAAGCATATTGGATTTTGCCAAAATATTTCTCCTCTTCTATAGAGACAATCATGTGATTTTTATCTTTAAAAACATTCATGTGACTTATTATCTTAATGACTTATATAAGTTGAACAGGCCTACAACTGAATTGTTGTTTTAACATGATAAGTCATGGAAGTTCCTCTTCTGGTTTTGTCTAGTTAGGGTAGTGTGTGCTTCTTTTATTTATGTGGGTATGTCTTCCCTTAGCTTGGGGACGTTTTTGTCTATTATCTTGTTAAAGATCTATTCTGTGTCATTGACCTGGAATTCCTCTGAACCCCAACAAGCCAGCCCTCATGTTACAGCCACCCATGTCTGTAATTTGAAGATTAGGTCTCTTGATAGTGTCCCACATTTCCTATATGACCATTTCTTTGAGTTAGTACTCTTTTTGTAAATTTTGCATGTTTGGTCTTGGTTCTCTATTTTTACATCATGATAGTTTATCTTTTGCTTGATTTATTTCTACTTGTAATGCTTCCCCCAGTGTTTGATAATTGGTATATTGATTTTCTCAATTCCATCTTCATTTCACTTGTGTTCTTTTGAATTTTTCTATCTCTACCTTGAATTTGGGCTTGATAACATCCCCTCTCTTAACAGAGTCTGTCCTCAGGATTAGGGACATCAATTAGTGATTAGTTATAATTGGTATAGACCTGGGGGTTGAGGTGGAAATTATATAAGCTCAGGGATCTCCTTAAAAAAAGGAAATTGAATGGAATAACAGATAGATTAGTGTGAACTTACTCACACTAGTAATATTAGTGGGTAATAGAGTGAATACTTATGAACTATTATTTATGGACAATATACATTGGTATAAATTCTTGTATATTGATACAAGTCCAAATTATAGTTGTTATATTGAATATGCACCTATTTCTGTTTACAATATTTGTACACCTATGCAAAGTTATGTTGTCATATTGTATGCATGCATGTTTCAACATCTGTTTAAGACATTTTGTATATACAATTTTGGGATCTACTTATCATATTGCAATATACAGTTTTACTTATGATCAAGATACTTATACAGTGTTTACATTTTGAGATCATTGTTCTCATTTGCTATACAGTTGTTTAAGGATTGTCTAATATTCTAATATGAAGCCTTAGTCCTTAAGCTATATAAAGATATTAAAAATTATAGGTCAATAGTCATCCATGTTTGTCATACTTACAGTTAGACTAACCAGGTTCTTTAGATACATAGAGATTGTATTCTGCATGGATAGGTAATCCTCAATCACTTCCAAGAACTGTAGAATATGGCATTTAAATAACTTAGGGTTTTGTTGACATGAGACATGATTACTCCTGGCAGCACAGATTTATTCCCAAGAGAATGTTGGGCACTAAAGACACTCTACTTGGAGCTTGTTTTCGCCTTAGCAAAACTGGCCTTTGGGCAAAGAACTGCCCATACCTCCACCACTGACAAAATGCATGGTGCCTGGACTGAACAAGCAGGATACAAGAAAAAAGACTGCCAAACCTTACCAAGACATGGCAAGATAATTTTGAAAATTTTTCTTTCAAAAATCTTTCTTGCTTGATATTGTTTATGCCCCTAAAAATGGTCTGTCACTTACTCTAGGTCTTAGTCAAAGTTGGTTGCTCCAACATTGCAAATGAGACTTTGCGTGAATGCCCAGGTAGTCACTTGTCTCTATCATTTATTGCACATTTTGGAAGTTGTTTGATTGCAATTCGTGTTTACTCAAGTAATGTTATTTCCCTTCTCAGGTCTTCGATGGGGTTGAAGACTAGATATTTGTAGTTACTTTCCTCTCTTGACTTAGCCAAGGCAATTCTAATACAAGACTTAGACTCCTTAGGATATGATAATTATTAAAACATTCAGTCTATCTTTCTTGCTTGATATTGTTTATGTTGGTTGTAATTCCAAATTTTATACTTGATATTTGTTCTTATTGTATATGTTGTTATTCTTAAAAAACGATGTGAGAGCAGCTACAAACGGTCCCCAGGCGGACTGGCGGAGGGAGCCCGCCATGAGGGCGGCTACAAACGATCCCCCGGGCGGGCTGGCGGAGCCCGCCATGGGAAAGCGGCTACAGGAGGGCACGCTTCCTTGGCCCACGGTGGCGGCAGGTAACAGACACGTAAACACAGGAAATAGCCATAAGTATTTATTAAGGAAGGGGGAGAAAGAAAGACAGAGAAAAGAGATAAAAGGAGAGAGGAGAGATAAAAGAAGAGAGAGACAGAGAAAACGCGTGCGCACGCTAAGGAAGCAGAAAGAGAGAGAGAGAGGTCCCAAGATGGCGATGGGCGGGTCAGAGGTTATGGGAGTGGGCGTGGCTAGGGCAGGGACCCAAGAATATCAATTTGTACGTTCATTTGATTTCAAGCAAGAGATAAAGCAGTATAAAAATTGAACAATGGCTCAAAGACATTAGATTTGAGAAGATAACAAATTCATAACATTTAACATTCATAACCGTCATTCATATGAAGTCTAGCAGGTTTGAAGTTCCTTTCTACTTTATAATTTATAAACATTCATACCACAAAGATAGTTGAAATAAAATACTTTTCCCCAAAAAAGATTTGTCTAGAACTCCTGAGGTATGTCTGAGTAGAAAGGAATAATGTATTTGTTTCTCCACACAAATGGCAGCAGTGAGTTGTGTGTAGTGTTGATTTCAGAAGCTGTGGCAGGAGACTTCTGAATTGAAGGCTCTCTTGACTGACATAGTGAAACAAATTTGTTCCCCAGAACAATTTGTGTTGATTAATCTTCATTATCAACTTGACTGAATTTGGAATCCCATGGGAGACACACCTCTGGGTGGGTCTGTGAAGGTGTTTCAGGTATGTTTGAATGTGAGTAGCACCAACCCATGGGCTGTGTATTCTGGAAGGAATTAAAAGGGAAAAGGGAAGGGCAAGCTGGATGCTAGTACCTACTTCTCTGTTTCCCGAATAAGGAACAATATGGTCACCAGCATGTCTTTCTTGATATGACAGACTGTATCCCTTATACCATGAGTCATGATAAACCACTCCTTCTTCAAGTCACTTTGGTCACCAAAATAAGAAAACTAATGCAGAAAATTGTTATAAAGAACTAGGGTTGCTTTTATAATAAAACTGTCTTTGAGAATTGTGGGCCCCTAGAATTAGTTTACAGGAGAAATGTGGAATAGTTTGGAGTTGTTGGTAAGAGGAACACAGGACTGCTGTGAAGTTAATAAGCCATTCTACTAGAAAATATCTTTGCCTCATCCAGTTAAACAGCTCATCTACCAGCTTTATCTGGCCCTGTTCCAGACACACAGACTCTTCACTGGCCTGCTCTAAGACAGGCCAGATTCTCACATCAAACATACTACCAAAAAAGAAGTCCACATGTCCAGATCAAATCACAAAACCACAAATGACCAAGAAGCTTGTCTCTCAACTAACCACTAATCCTATAGAATTATTTTTAATGGAAATGAAGCTTAGAATGCAAGACTTAAAAGAACAATCACAAATATTACCTCCAAATTCAAGGAATTTTAAAGAATAAATGAACAAACATTTTATTGAACTCTAAGAGGATAACAATGAGTGCTAGAGTTATGGATATAACAGATCATGATAAAGTAATTCCACATTAGCTCAGAAAGGGGCATGATAAAGGGTTTTTTATTTAGAGGTAGACTCGCAGATGAACAGTCCTCTGCATGAGCAGGGAACAGGAACCAAATCCAGCAGCCAAGAGAGAGAGGCCATACCAGCTTTATATCTGCATTTATAATACAAGAGACCACACCGAAGTGGGCTGCTATCTTAAAGGCTATTGGCTGAAGAAGTTCCCACAGCACCTCCTCCTTTTGTCTAAATAAGAGAGTTCCAGCCCCAATACAAAACTATATACTGTTGTTATTCTTAAAAAACGATGTGAGAGCAGCTACAAACGGTCCCCAGGCGGACTGGCGGAGGGAGCCCGCCATGAGGGCGGCTACAAACGATCCCCCGGGCGGGCTGGCGGAGCCCGCCATGGGAAAGCGGCTACAGGAGGGCACGCTTCCTTGGCCCACGGTGGCGGCAGGTAACAGACACGTAAACACAGGAAATAGCCATAAGTATTTATTAAGGAAGGGGGAGAAAGAAAGACAGAGAAAAGAGATAAAAGGAGAGAGGAGAGATAAAAGAAGAGAGAGAGAGAGAGAGAGAGAGAGAGAGAGAGAGAGAGAGAGAGAGAAAACGCGTGCGCACGCCAAGGAAGCAGAAAGAGAGAGAGAGAGGTCCCAAGATGGCGATGGGTGGGTCAGAGGTTATGGGAGTGGGCGTGGCTAGGGCAGGGACCCAAGAATATCATTCCCACATCTTGCTTTTGATAAAAAGCAAATTAGACACTTCAGTTTGAAGGAATTGGGGCGGCGAATTCTCAAGACTGCTTCCGGCTGATTGTGGGCGTCGTCTTGGGGGGGGTGCGAGAGAAGGCTGGGGTGCTGGGACCATCCTGGCATAGCTGGTCTCTTTGCTTCTGACCGATGTCTGTGGCATGGGAAATGTCTGGAGTCCCTAAGTTATTGGCAGAACAAAGAACAAAGTCAAATTAAGGTTAAAAGGAAAAAATTTTAGGACCAGGGAATTGAGGGGGTATCTGACCTGTTTAAGATGGATTTCTTGATTTGGCTCCCTGGAACTCATGAGAACTCCTTGGGTTTGTGAAAACAGAAGTTTTAGACATATAATGACTGTAGCATAAGAGATAAATTTGGTTTGAAATTTGGTGAGGTCACCTTGTAAAACCTCAACCTGGCGAAACCTCTCAGCTGTCAGACTGTCAGAGATCTTTGAGAAGGATAAGATTTTACTTGAGTAACTGATTAAAAAATGACAGAGAACTTACTTGGTTGGCACCCAGAGCTACTCTTTTTTGGGTCCTCCATGGTCGCTGAAGGTTGCACTTGAGCTTTGCTGTTTAGCGCAGGGCCTGCCAGGCTCCAGAAGATCCTGTGGGCTAAGAAATCTGTAGGAAGACAGGCCTACCTTGACCTGAGCAGCTAGGCTGTCGATTCCGTTGATTCCGTCCACGTCTAGAGATCTTTAGTTTAGATGAAAGGCAGGTTTTCCCAATGGTCAGCGCTCTGCAGTCGAAGCGAGATGCAGAAGGACGTTGTTCTGCGTGTGACTGTCTTCTTTGGAGGGAGCAGAAAGCTGCTGCTAGGAGCCAACCTGTCTCTTTTGTCGTTGTTAAAAGTTTTTTTTTTAAATAATCAAACACTTAAATATCACATTCCCCAGATCTCTGAGCAGTTGAGGGCTGTTTATCAGGTATAACTATAGTATAGAATTTGTTTGGAAAGTTGGGTCTGAGCTTGACCAAATTGGCTCATAACAGGTAAGATTTACATTTGTAAAAAGATAGAGGGAAAAACTGCTTGAAATATAAGGTTAGCGGCAAAACTGACAATGGTAAAGAACAGCTTAAGAGACTTAAAGGTACATACCAGTTTAAAATACAAGACTCATGTTTTGTAGTCTGAAATAAGATGTAATAAACAATTATACATAGAGAGAGTGAACAAGAATTGGGCAACGTGGATGCCTCTGATGGGCCCTATCAAAGGCATTTGACCATTGCTCAAAACACATTTAACAGAGTTAGCATAAGGAGTTTGGTGAAAACCTGGTGAGAAGGCAGGGTAAAACCGGGAGAGTGTGGTCACATGACCTGGCTCTCAGCCAAGATGGTGGCGAAAAGGTCACCTGACCCATCTGGCCTCCAGCCAAGATGGTGACCGCCATGTGTAGTCTGCTCAGTTGGAAAGCCCGCCAAGCCATAACAAAAGCCGCAGGGTGGAGGGGCAAAAGGCTGGAACCGAAAAACGGCCATGTATAGTTTAATGGGGCCATTTTGGACAAAAACTGATAAGTGTGAGGCATTAAAAGATGAGGCCAGAGTGATAGGTCTGGATGGATTGGCTCCCGTGGTCAAGGCCGTGCAAACACCTGCAAAAACCGTGGCACCTCAAGCCTACAACGAGAACGGCTCCCCGTTAAGGCGAGATGCAGATGGCACGAACATCCGCTGGCCCTATGGAATGGCGTCCGATTCCATAGGGGGGGATGTTATAACCTGGCTGAATCGACTCGAGCCTCCGACGGGAGAGCGATTCCCGGGCAGGAGGGATTCAGCCAAGGTCAGGCCGCACCGTAGCGGCGTGGCTGCACCGTAGCAGCGTGCTGCACCGTAGCAGCAGTTACGACGAAAGAAGGAAGGAAGAGAAAAGCAAGGAAAAAAAGAAAAAGAGAGAACTGGAGACCCCGGGCCTCCAGGCGCGGGTGAGCTGAGGCTTAACACAGGAGACAAGCCGAATTGAATGCCAGCGAAGGGAACCGAGGCCCTGAAGGCCCGCGGTTGGAGGTTCCCCCATCCCTAAAAACCGTGAAGGGTTGCCGGGAGCTCAACGGTCAAACCCTCGAGTTAGAAGAGATGGTTAAGCTGGCCGAGATGGGGACACTCACGATTAGTTGATCTGTTGTTTGGAGGAGCTGCATCCAGGGAACACGTGGGTCGTAGGCCGGCGAAGTGGAAAAGAACCCAGTTCGGGAGTCACGTGGCACCAATGTTATTCTTAAAAAACAATTAGAGAGAGGCTACAAATGGTCCCCGGGCGGACTGGCGGAGGGAGCCCGCCATGAGGGCGGCTACAAACAATCCCCCGGGCGGGCTGGCGGAGCCCGCCATGGGAAAGCGGAAGATCAACTATAGGCTAAAATAAAATATTAACCATGACACAGGAGAGCTGTAAATAGCTTGACTGCTTTAACATTTTGTATGGTTACACTAACAGTGCCTGAAAGTAAAGTGAGGAAGGCATTCAAGACAAAAAGTAAGGTCCTGTTGCTAGATTTAGAAGAACTCTAGATTTAGCATTTCATATAAGACAACAAGGGGCAGTTTTCCCTTGTTTGGAAAGAGCTTTTAAGTCTCTTAAAAGTTTACACCTGTAAATGACTTCTGCTTGGCTACTCTAGAGGCTGCTAAGTCTCAGAAGGGAGAAATTTCATCCCTTTGAACTTTTGTCAGGATGGCATAGGCCTCTGTGTATCCTGAGAAGAATATCAACAAACACCAGAACACAATATATTCTTGATGGAGTAACTCTGAGTAAAATAATTGTTAATACTCTCCTAGGAATGAGAGAGGCTTAGTTCTACTCCTGGGTTAAGGCAGGAACAGAGAACATAGGCCCTGGCAACTGTTGAGATTAGTCCTCTCTAACGTCATGAATGACTCAAGTGGTCACTGCTTCTGCTCCAAGGTGGCATGAGCTGTGAAAGTCCTTTAATTCAGTTTCTTTGCTCTTTGGGGGTCTATAGACTCTCATGTGCCCTGGATTGATAACTCTAGTAAACACTCACGGTAGAAGCAATGGTGCTCATCAAACACTAGATGGCGGAAGAAAGCTAAAAAAGAGCAAAGCAACAGTAACATGAAAACCCAAAAGCAGGGTTAAGTAAAGAAAATCACCAACAGAGTTTCGTTTTCAATTTTTCTCATTCTCCTCTTATTAGAAGATGGGATTTATATATTTTGATGTCCTGTTGTTTTAAAGGTAATTCATGGGTTATTTATTATGTAGAATTGAGATGAAATCATTGCATATAATATCATTTGTCAATAGCATTTTTATTGGACTCTCATCTAGTCTTAGCATGAGTTACACTGTTGTAATTTAGGGAAAAACAGTGGTGTGAGAGAGAAACACCATGTGACAGAGCTCAGGTGGAGGGTTTTTAATTGGGGGAAAGGGCATGGGAAAGAAGGGAGGGGAGGAGGGAGACTGGCCTCTGAGACAGGAGTGGCAGAGAAGAAGAGAGACAAGAAAGAGAGACAGACAGACAGACAGACAGAAGGAAGGAAGGAAGGAAACAGAGAAAAAGAGAGATGGGAGGTGGGTAGGGCCCTTTTACAAGGGAACGTAGTGAATGTTCACAGATTACAGCTGAGGGCATATACCGCAAGGTCAGGTCAGTACAGATGCCTAAATACCTAACAAACACCACTTGCTACTTTTTCTAAATGTTTTGTCTCTCACATATTTTCTCCTTCTCTTAAGAATTCTAGAGATGTATTTTTCTTTTTATCCAATTACTTAAAATCTTATTTAGAGTTTAACCCATTCAAAATTCATGCTTTAAAAATTCTATTATCTTATTTTGTCTCTCATTTAAAATTTTTCCTATTGTATTCATTTTCTTCTATTTTGTTGAGTCAAAGATGTTTTACTTTATTTTCTATTCTAATGATTTGAAATTCTACAACAAATATGCTTCCATAATATACTATATGTGCTTTTGACATTTAAATCTATATTTTCACTAAATATCAAGAATTAAATAGTATGTACTAACCTTTTTGAAGTGATAGTCCATGTTTTGAAGGCAGCTTTTATTAGTTTGTGTGGAGGCCCAAAAATGTGAGCCTATCCCCACCTTGTCGGAGGGTCAGAGAGTTTGAGGTTACTGACAACAACTATGGCTACACGCCCAGACCTAGTGTGGGGTCACTTGGACATTAAGATGGCCCATAGAGGTGGATCCTCTCCACCCTGAACAAAGGTCAGAGAATTCAAGCATATTTCTGCTCCTTCTTTTGAAATAGGAGGAATGACCTAGGGAGTGGCTGCCTTCAGGATACTTGGTCTAGGGTGGGTAAAGCATCAAATACTTTCCTCAAGAAATAATAACTTGATGTCTCAACATATTGAAGCAAGTAACTGTTCTAGTTGTCCTTTGTATCCTGTTAAAGCAGCATTTTGCCTTCTTCACCCCCTTTTGTATTGGGGTATAAAATGTATGGAAAATAAACACAGGTGAACTCAGTGTGCTGGAGGCATTGAGTTGCCCTCCTGGCACTATCCTATGTCTCTGTGTTTCTTTCTTATCTCTTTTCCTCCTTCCTAGCTTTTCTAATCTTCATGTTCCTACCCTGGAACTTACAAGCCCACCATGGCTAGGATGGCGGCAGAAGTCACCCCAAAAAAGTGGGTCCCAACAAGTTTGCATGCTAAGTTTTAGTATTTTTTAAATGTATTCTGTTTTGTTTTAAAAATAGAAATGGGGTTTAAAATAAAAAGCTAACTAGTAGATTTACGTATACACTGAGTGTGTAGATGGAATTTCACCTAGTTCAGGTCAATATCTTTCTCTACTTTCTGGACCTCATTTAGGAGTGTGTGTTACACATTCCTGCTTTGTTTTCATAATTTGTTTCTGGAGCAGACACTCTGTTCCAAGTGGTGATAGTGGTTTTTTCTCCATCAGACAAGTGATGCCAGTTTATAGTGTGCAAACATCTTCAAATAAGCTCAAGGTATTTTTTTTCTCATTTTCTAAACATTAAACTTCAATCTTAGAAAGACTTAATAAGAGTTGTCCAGGATCCCAAGATATAATCACAAACCCTGGAAACAGAGTCAGGATGGAGCAACAGTGGAAACTTGAACTCAGATCATGGAACATCAACCTGCCTTTCCATCTGCACAGACTGAAAAGTTCCTGCACCCTGTTAAGCCTCTCCACTGATGCAATAATCTGAATCCAAAAAAATGAATAAGAGCCACTGTGGTTGGGGGCTGTGAATCCCACAGGGCCTGGACCCTGTCAGAGGTGAGGGTCTTAGATCTTGGACTGAGTTAAACATCCAAATACACAACTGTGGAAGAACATTAAGCTGAGTCTTGGCTGGTGAAACTCTATATCCCAGGGATCCAAGGAAGTTCAAAAGCCAAGAGGTGGCCTGTTGGGACAGAGGCAATGTGGGACTGCAGAGGAGGAGATCATCACCATACTGGAGAAGTGTGCTAGGACTGGGGTCAAAGCTTGAGAGATCCTGAACCAGGGTTTGGCCAAAGAAATGGGAGTTGTCCTGAAAACGCTGAGGGAGAGCAGTCCTTGTAAGCTGTCTGGAGGACTGGGTGTCAAGGGTCCTCTTCCCAGGTGAAGGCAAAGAGGAAGTATGAGT